GTTAGGTCTACCCGCTGTAATAATAATTATGTTAAATATTAATCTCTACTTTCCTAATGGGCCCTTCAGTTCCTTCCAGTCAGTAATTACATTCAAACTCTGAGAGGATTACTACAATTCAGAAATTATGAATGAAAATAAATATAATAATCGAGTCGCTTACGTAACATGCATATCTGTTTACATTGATATAAAATCGATTTATTTTAAGAAGGTTTCAACGATATCGTTGTCAAACGTTCATAGATTGAATTTTTCTTGACACAGACGTGGGTGCTTATATTTAGTAACTGAAATACACGCCAAAAATAATACTATAATACAAGATAAGAATACAATATAAAAAGAGAATATATTGTTAATCGTTCAAGTATTGGACTCCGAGCACTAGATAGTTATCCCCGTCGAGGGAGGGCTTCAGCACAAAACCCTCCTCCGTTAGATCCGCTAGAGCTAGGAAGAAACGTTGATAATTGAGAGAGTGATGGCCTACCCAACAACTAGATCAGTGAGCGCCAGTCTGACCTTTCCAATTTAACCCGTTGTTGAAATATATAAGGTTTTTCAATAAAACCACGTTTTGTAACGATTTTCGCAATCTACAACGAATTTCCAAAATAGCAGCCAGAGCAAAACAGTCTATAATAAATAATTTGGAATGTTAAGAAATGTGTTTGTGATCTAAAACTTAAGGATATAAATTCCATCAGTCTCCCAAAATAAAATACCCAAAATTCCATATTTATCTCCTAAAATCGAAGAGATACCGCTACTTGAAGTACTTACCCAGTAATTTTTTATCCTAGTTTTGCTATCTTATATAAAAGTGGTAAGGGTGAGTTACAGCTGGAGCTGTAAGATTGGAATATTTTTAAACGCATTTTATTCTTTCCCCAACCGTGATACTTCGACTTTGCAATATTATTAAAGTGAGAACACCGGCAGAATGATAAGTAATACCGAATTGATGGTTTATAATACAAGGAATAGAATGATAACAATATCATCGTGTACCTATCATATAAGATTACGGATAACATAACATTCTCATATATATATATATATATATATATATATATATATATATATATATATATATATATATATATATATATATATATATATAATAGAATAGAATAGAAAAATAATTTTATTCTGGGATGAAGTCCCTTCAGAATAACAAAAAAGTACAGAAATTAAAATTTTATATCTGGCCAGATAAAAACAAACATAAAAAGTTAAGATAAAGATAGATCATTAAAAAAAAAAAAAAAAATATTGGTTATACATACTATATACAAAATAAAATAAAAAAATCTAAATAAAAACTCTTGAAACCATACTAAGATACTTAAAACTATGTACAATGTTAAAATATAAATAAACCCTTTTAGAAAAAAATAAAAAAAATAAATGTAAATTCTTCTTAACAGTAAAATCTGTGTTTCTGTTGAAAAAAAAAAAAAAAAGAAAAGTCGAATCTATAATAAGTATTTAGGTTATGAGCTATATGTGAATATGTTATTATAAATAATATGTAATTTTACATAAAAGGTTAGCTGGTATCTGACTGTTTTTGGGACAGGAATTGGAATAGGAGGGTTTTGAATGTAGATATATATACATATATATATATATATATATATATATATATATATATATATATATATATATATATATATATATATATATATATATTTCGACAATTATTCATTTTTACTAGTTTAATTTTTATTTTATTCAAGACTCTTCACCTCCCCGGATATGTGAGGTCTCTCACATCGACCGAAGGTAGGACTTATAACCTGACCTGGTGTACTTAAATCGGGCAAATATCTACATGGGCTATATAAACGAAGAAAAACTTTATAATTAACATAAGATATATTTAAATTATATTTAAATTAACTTAAGATATATACAGTTACTTTCGAGAAATTTAAAATAATAATAAAAAAGTTTATTCGAGAAAATTTGTATTTCTTAGAACACATCACAAAATACCAAATTTCGAAAACAGTTTGAGATTGGAAGTTTCAGTCGCCGGAGCTCAACTAACTTTTCGTTAGACAATCACTATTATTTTATTTACTCTTTACACCTGAATTATTATAAATATCCGGGAGTGCTCATCCCCTCCAAGGTCGATGGTGCAAAAGCTTCTCATTCCAAGATATTTTCTTGTTCTCCTCTTCTTAAAAACAGTGCAAGCTAAAGTAGAATTTAAAAACTCATAGCCATCATAAACTATTTCACATTTTTTTTTTTTTTTTTTTTTGGTCTTCCCTACCTCGCCTTTTAGGCTATACGGGATTTTCCTGGGCCGGAGGGTGAGGGCGGAGAATTTAAAATCCCCTCCGGCACCGGGATGCGATCTCATACTTTTTTCTAATCTCAAATCTGTTATCCGGTTGCCAGGCAACTCGCGGTGCAGTGCACACGCTTTAGCCATTCGGCCACCCCGCCCCCAAACTATTACACTTTGAGTGCTCTGTTCTTTGCTTTCCCATTGTTCCCTGGTTTGAAACTTTTCATTCTGAAAATTCATAACCCCATCGAAATGCCCCCCTCCCTCCTCAAAACTACATAACCCCGTCAAAATGTGCCCCTCTCAAAAATTTTGATGGCAGAATTTGCGCTCTGAAACTCCCTTCTGGGCACCGCTGTAAATATTCTTGTTTATGTAAACTGTATTGTAGATATGATAAATTTGTGATATACTTCCACTTAAATTAAATTCCGAATATTATTTTTTCATAGCAACAACCTCAGTAATTTTTTAAATAACTCCAAAAATTCATTCACACAAGTGGAATGGATTAGTATTTTTCCCTAATGATATTGTCTTTTAATCAATTTTAATGCTTCTACTGTTTATGAATAATATGAATATGATCCCTCGACACTCTCAAGCCATCAGAGAGCGATCTAATTGAAACAGAGAGATTAACTTGCCGACACAAAGCCCTTTAGAGAAGATTCCAATGTCCTTGAAATTCAATATAGGCTTGAGCCGAGACTTAGCTCATCAAGGCTCAGGTTTTGCAACAACCATTAAATGACTTTCCTTTTACACGCAAATACACGGCCCTTCAAATGGTTTTATAACCTTTAAATTGATTGCTACCTCAATGGCATTAAACATCCGTCACATAAACCACGAAACACACATATACGTGGGTATACATATTTTTTTTTACTTTTGCTTACCTCAATAATATAGTTTAAAAAAATACTATTTTATTATTAATTAAGTATGTATTTGAGCAGTAGTCCGCTAGGAGCTATGTAACGATTTCATAAACGAACGGCTTAGTCGATTTTTACACTTAATGGTTAATGTTAAGTGTCTTGAAAAAAAAAAAGTTAAAAGCACTGCCCCGTGGTTGCAAAAAAATTATTTTAATCGATCTGCTAAAAGATGTATAACGATTTTTTGAGCGAATGGCTGGATCGATTTTTAAGTTTGAAATCTTAAAGGGCGTTTAGCCATTTCACAATGTATGGGACAAAGAAATATGTAAATGATTATTTCAATATGCTAGTATTATTGTTTCTTGTTTTTGATGTTCCCCACCAGCTGTCAAGAGTGTAGGATATATCAAGAGAAATAAAATAAATAGTTTGGTTTAACAATAATCCAGCTGTTAGTTAACTTAGATAATTGTGTTCCACATAGTTTGTAAAATGTCTAACAATTTGAGCTAAAACACTGACCCGTGATTGAATCAACTGTGTTTAATCGACTCGCTAAAAAATATGAAACGATTTTTTAAGCGGACCGATGGATCGATTTTTAAGTTTTATATTTAGATATTAAATAGTTTTTCTATTTATTTCTTTTACTTATAATTTATTTAACGTTGCTACTAATTTCTGTATTTTATTTAATTTTAACTCTAAGTTACATTTCCTTGGTTTATTATATTTTTTGCCTTTGTTATATAGATATATATATATTTTTTTTTATTGTATTGTATATATGGTATGAATGTGCCTCACTCAGCTTTAGTACTCAGTGCCCTTAAGTGTGGCAAAATGTATTATTTCGCAATAAAAAGATATATAAAAAAAAAATATTAAATAAAACAAAACGTTGAACAGCGGCAGTGCGGAATGCATTAACTGGCTGTTATGTTTATCACTGTTCAGGTTTGGATAGAAAAAGACACAAATTAGCCGAGGACAAACATGACGTCACGCGGGTAATGTGATGCAGGCCCTTGTCTCAAAGAGTTTAGAAAGAAAGACATCCCAATAACCAAGCTTAAATCATATTTGTCGAACCTAAAAGTTTCCTTTTAGATAGACGAATGCACAGACGTTCATTTTGGAACAATGGTAGTACTTAAACAATAATTTGCGACGACAAAAGGAAGTTGTGATAGATCGAAGGTAGAGGAGGAATCTGAAATAATCGGGAAATGTTATCGCTCTAGAGTAGAAACAGTTCCCGACGTAATTAATTCCTTATTACCTCCCCCCTTCCTAAGCAGAACTTGCCAACTTTCAACCTTAACTCGCTAAAACCGTGGGAAGTTACAGAAGCTCACCTCCCCGCCTAGTAAAACTTCATATCCTTTTAATTACCTATATAAAGAACCTTTTATTTTCTAACTAAGGCCTTTTCCTAATTAGAAATAACACCACTTCTCGCCGGTAGCTAAATCTGTTAAAAAGGATACCACTCCCCCGGTGGAAATTCATTAGCCTAGTAGCCTAACGAGGATTTGTGCTTCTTAATTTTCCTTTAAACGTGTAATATTTATGTCAAACCTCCTTTCTTCTCAGTTTATGCTAGTTACGCAACGAGCTAAAAAACGTTGCAACTCCTTTACTTCTGCAGCCCTAGGGTTTAATGATGAGTCTTTTAATCCACCCTTGATTAGCTAAAATAAATTCAATCCTACCCCTACAAGTAGTGCCCTTTCTAAATGTTCTCTTCAGACCATGTCCATAAAACTGGGTAAGTTAAAAATATGGAAAATCCCAAAATTTTGATGGAATTCAATACCAAAATAGGACTCGGGCCTCCTCCACCTATTAGGCTTATAGTTGTCCTATCAAATATTATTATTGTCCTACCGCCCTCTGTCAACATTAGATCTCCACTCCTTTCAGCCCCTCGACATCTTCAAGCCAGTGCAGTGTGGTCTTCCTCTTCAGACGTCTTTCACGCATGGCTATTTAATGGTATCTTTCTGGTAAAATCTTTCAAAGATCCGAACCGAGCATGAATGCGACAAGGTTAAATTTTTCAAATAAACGCCTCAGCACGACATTCTTATGTGTTATCCAAAGACTCGCTTATGAAGCCAAACATTATAAGTAAAATCTTACACTCCCAGCAATTCAGAAGTCGTTTATCGTGGCGGTTAGGAGTATTATCTCCCAGATGTATATATTATTACAGGCCATATTATAGTATTTTAAACTGTGAATTTAGATCAAATTGAGAGCTCCCGAAACTTCACGATCTTTTGAACTGCGTAGAGCTCCTTGCAGTTTTGTGCACTTTTATTTCAGTTGTCTTCTATTACTATAACACTTACATACTTATTCTTGACTCATTGTTACATAAAAGGAAATTAAGTACCTGCCCCTAAAGGTTGCTATATTTGGAGTGCTTTTGATTCAAAAGTTAAGATCATTGTTGTTATAGCGTCACCTTGGACAATATGTACATATATCTACCTCAAAGTCTTTGATAGATTGTCAATATTATGATTAAATAAGAAAACTAACATTTTTTTTATATATATCATAAATTTATATTAAAATAATAATATCACATTCTCAGTACGGCTGGTCCCCGTGGGAAGTTAGACCATTGCCGTCTTAAAAAGGAGAGGTCTGCAAGTTGAAACATACTCGTAAAAGCAGGCTTGTCAAAATAATATACTTCATACTAGAATCACATTTTAACAAAGCACAGGAAATAATAGCGATAACATCTAACACAATTTGTTTTAAGTATCTTTGAACCGAGGCAGAAGAACCTTTGAACCATATTTGAACCACTGCAAATATGGCTAGGAAATTTGTGAATATTTTACATAAATTTCCTAGCCTCATCCTTCATCTAGATTCGGGCCCCGGGGAATAATTTAAAGAAATCTTAAAATAAATAAAATGAAAACGATATTTCAACAAAAAAATAACGCATAAATATCTGTTAGTTATTATACGCATAAATAACAGTTATTAGCAAGAAACACGTGAAAAATAACTGGAAAGAATATACAGGAACCGGGGAGCAACATTGGAAATCAATAAGGCAGAATAGAAGTGAAGCACAGGCGGATATACGGGTGAGACTTTCGAGTTGAAGCCTCCCCCCCCCCCCCCAAAATGGTAAAATGTAGCCATGTTTGATGGGAAAAAAATATTAAAAATTATCTATTAAACTATTATTATTCGTTTAATTACATGTAATAGGACTTCAAGTATCCCTTAAACGCCATTTCATATAGGTAGTTAGTGTCTTTCTTTTTTTTTTCCAAAGTAATTATCTTTTTTTTTTTTTTTCTTCCCTACCTCGCCTTTTAGGCTATACGGGATTTTCCAGGGCCGGGGGGTGAGGGTGGGGAATTTAAAGAATTTCAAATCTCCTCCGGCACCGGGACGCGAACTCGTCCTTTTAAATCATCTCAATTCTCTGTTATCCGGTTGCCAGGTGCTGTGCACACGCTTTAGCCTATTCGGCCACCCCGCCCCCCGAATTATCATTTTATATATATATATATATATATATATATATATATATACATACATATATATGTGAAAAAAAAAGTTTTCGGGTTGAAGCCCCCCCCAAAAAAAAATTCAATCCTGGATCGGCTAGAGAAGTGAACCATGTTCATTCCACCCTAAAGATATACGGAAATCTCACGTCATTAAAATTTGTGAGAATTTCAATAAGACATTTGATGGTTAGTATGGTTTTTATTGGAATCCACCGACTTTCCAATTTATTCCTACAAATTAAAAGAAGCGTAAAATGATATTTGGAAACATAAAAAAAGAAAAAAAAACAGATCGACAAATATTCTCAGCTGAAATCAATACTAGAACTGAGGTTCTAGAAGTGAAATTCTTTTATTGCCAGAAGTAAAAACAGCTAAAGGGTCTCATTTCCTATTCCCACCGCCCAGCTCTTGATGGCGCCCCAGCAATAAGCTATTTCCTAAGTAACCCTTCGTTTTCCCAATTCCTTTTCAATAGCGAAAAATAAATTATTTTTTCGCTCTGAACTTTCAACTCCAAGATAAATAATATAATGCAAATAATATCGCTATATTGAAATAGTAATCTTTTTAACCGATTTAAAAGAAAACTAAATTTTAAAAAACACGCACGTGTTTAATCATAAATATATATTACAGCAGTATTTTTATTTTTAAATAAATCCTTATCCTCTATTTTCTGTTAACATCTCACTATCAAAAACAATATTTCTTAAAAATTAAATTTAGAAATTCTTTATTTAAAGCACATTTTTTCTGATGATCACTGATATTTTCATAGTAATTTTAAACATTTAAACTTGATTAGAACCGGTTTTGGAATGAATTAATTTTTTTTAATTTTATTTATTTAATGAAATTTACATCTGCATGAACAATAGAACTAGTAAAAATGCACACATTAGAAATAATGAAATGAACAGACTTGAAGAGATACTGCCCAGTGGTAGCACTCCCTGTTTAATTCTAGGTGAGAATATCACGTAGCCATCTTCTTTTTAGACGCCTAGCAGGATTATCAGGAATCGAGGAAGAAGCAAGGCTGGAAACAAGTGGATTTGGATGGGACTGGAGTTTATCATGAAAGGATAGGTATCTGGTTCGGGATAAATCAGCGACATATGGAACAATAAGGTCTTTATGAATGGTTTTATTTGTGACAAAATATGGGGCATTGTAATTGGATTGTAAGGATTGGATACGATAGGAATTCGATGGTTTGGCAGAACCCCAAAGCTCAACTCCGTATGTCCATATAGGTCTTATTATGGTTAAGTAGATGAGTCTTTTGTAATTAATTGAGAATTTAGAGTGTTTGTCTAGTATGTGTTGGAGCAGTCGGAAACGTCGAGCAGTTTCTTGTCGTTTGAGTCTAGTATGCCGATTCCAAGTGAGACGTTTATTCAAGTGGAGTCCTAGGTAGCAGATTTGTTCAAGAGGAACAAGTGGAATATCATTGAAGTATATTGTTGGGCAAGAAGTTGTGAATTTACTATAAAGGGTAAAAATAATTTGATGGGATTTATTGGAATTGAATTAAATTTAAAAGCCTATTTTTAACAAAAAAAAAAGATTGATTGAGGTGCAGGTTTTAGAGATTCAATGGCGTACTATTCGACTAACTATTTATAACTAGGTTATAAAACAATACTACAAAAAAATTTGTTTACAATGTTTGCTACAAACTTTTTTTTCAATAATGGTAATAATGGTATAGTATATATATATATATATATATTTTTTAAATTTTGCTTCTAGCCTGCAGAACCATTGGCAAGACCATTTATTTACACTCTGTAATATAATTTAATTATTTTTAAAAAATATATTTTTTTTTATCAGCTAGTTCCCTTTCGTTCAAGTTTTCTTTTAGGCTCTGTGCCATGTCCAATTTCCTCCTAATAGTTTCAAATTTAGGACAGTCTTGAACAATGTGTTGGACTGTTCTTCGAATCTTACAATTTTCGCAGGTTGATGGGTTCAGTCAGTCCTCTTAGTAGGTAGGCATGTGAGAATCCTCAATGTCCAATCCTTAATCTATAGAGGGACATTTCTTTTTTCCTGGAGGATCGGTTCGTTTCCCATTACTAACATATTTTTTTTATTTCTTTTAATTTGATTCCTTTTTGCTCTCCTTCTTTATTTTTTTTTAAATAGTCTTATTCAGGGATTTCATTGATTGATATTACCAGAGTTGTTCCTGGCTTTCTTGTGATATAATGAGAAGTTGACAATACCTCAGTACAAATTCTTAGAGCTGACTTCTATATCAAGTAATGCGCCATCAACCTTGGGGGAAGGGGACACTCCTGTTTCTTCTTACATAATTTCCCTCTACTTCTTACATATCTCAAATACCATCATGAATATTTTCCCGCATTGAAAACCCAGAAAATTGCTATCATTTCAATAATATCACATATTTGTAATAAAATCACAACAGATAATGTTTTATTATTTAGATGATTAGCAAATCACAACTTTAACTTGTACGGTGGACGGCAGACGGACGGATTTTTTTAAATTTAATTTTGGATTCTACGTATCTTGAAACGTGAAAGGTCAAATTTTGAGGGAGGGTTGACACTTTTTTATTTCTTGGTCGATTACAAAGGTTGATTATTGGAAATAACAAACCCAAAATACATATTGATCATTCAATGTTAAGATTTGAGTAATAATTTGAAATTAATTTGCTTCCATAATTTTTATTTATTTAATGTTAGTATGATTTAGGTATATTTCAATACCTCAACGATTATTTTTAATTAGATCTAAAGTGTAATAAATGTTCTAGTTACATGAACCACAAAAAGCGCTGTGTTTTTTTTTTTTTTAACTCGTACACTTTTTTCATTTAATTGTATCTGGCATAATAAGAAAAAATCCGGTGCGCCCAACACACAACTTTTACTTACCGCTCAACTTTGAATAGAAATTATTTTCTGGCCATGTTGGGCTATTATAAAATTTTTGAATTGCATTTTTAGTTTATAATATATATATATATATATATATATATACATGCATTATGCCAGAGTTACCACGTTTCTATTACTTTCTTAAATAGTTTAACAATCTTTATTGCTTAGTAGATGTCAACAATATGAATTAACGATAAATAAAAGTTAAAGAATTAACTCGAAGTAGTGTAACCATCGATGTCATATCTATGGATAAAATGATACAAGGATATTAATACTGGCAAGATAGTAAAAGCAGGTATAATAATTTTAAAAGGTTTTGAATTTTAATAATACATTTTAAAGTTTATTAATTCAGCACTGAGTTTTCGTTCTAATACTGGACGAAAAGATGTCACCGATGAGTTCAGCGCTGAGTTTAGGAACTTGGCCTATTTATTGTTAAAATTATAAGCCTTTTGAAATTATAATAATATTACTGTCTTACAAGTATTAATATTCTTGTATCATTTTATTCAAAGACATGACATCGATGGCTGCACTACTTACAGTTAATTTCATATTTTTGACTAATTTTATTTTAAAAAATCTTTAACACATACTATTTATATGCATTTGTATGATTTTCAATGAGCATAGGTACAAGGATTTAAAATATTTTAGAAAGTTATAATAATATTATTCATTATTGAGGGGTGGTAACACTGGCATATTGCATCGTCACTTCAGTTCAGTGCCAGCTGTATACCGATGCGCTTCGTAACAATCATAATTTAGATATACCTGCAATATATATACCTTTATTGCAGTTAATAAGAACTTTAAAAAGTTACAAATCTTTAAGAAAGTAATGAGAAAGCTTCTCAGTTATTTCAAAATAAGGTACTGACGAATTTAATAAATGTTTGTTTTTAAATTAATAATGCCTCAGTGAATGAAATTATAAAACACTAATAAAATGAACATAAATAATTATCAATCCTTCTATGACTTGTTAGTAGGGAGGATAAATTGAAATTAAAATATTCTCTAAGAAATCATTGTTTAAACAATGGACTGTACATGTCTGTGCCAGTTCGAATATTGTACTTCGCCCTCACATCATAGTCAGCTGTGAACCAATGCATTTTCCTATAATGAAATTTATTCATTATTAGTTATTTTTTATTTAATTCTTTATTCATTTTGAAAAATATTAATTGAAACTCCTAACGAATTACTACGTTTTAGCTATCTGAGAAAGAAACGCAAATGTTTCTATGCATTATAGAAATAAGGTATTGATAAAAATTCCAAATAAATTATTATTTACAGTTCGATTAACCAATTATTAATACACTTATTTATCTTTATAAATTCAAGCATGTACATAAATTCAACAATGTAACATAACCTTTAAATAAATGTTACGAAAATTTAACAATTGCCTATGACGTGAAAGAAAATAATTAAAATTCTTTATTTTTCTATACTGTACTACTTAGAACACAAAAGTACCATACTTCATTTACTTCTATTAGTATTTGTCGAAGTTTCAGGTTTGTACCTATCCACATGTTTCTATTTATTTAATTGTTTCTATAAATCTGAAGTAAAACTGCATCTACAAATAAATCATCATTTTAAAACTACTTGAGATAGAAATTTAAATGTTTTCTGATGTTTAAAAATATGATACATTTTAAAATTTTGATTAAGTGTTACTGCCTATTAAATTATTAAATTATTGATATATGTATGAAGAATGTTTAAAGTAAATGATAAACGATTGAGTAATTATTTAGATGAAGATGTTACGCGTGGTTCACAATCACTTCGATCACAGTTGGAGTGCCGAATGCATCCGGTTGCATTTACCCGAAAGACTGTTTTCGACGTTTCATGAACAAGTGTGACCAATGTGATTGTGAACCACGAGTAACCTGTGCGGTCCTCAGCTAAATAATTACCAACGATTATCCTGTTGTATTATAAAATAAATAAATTTATTTTAATTTAACTCCAGTAATTTGAACTTTGGACACCACGTGGTTGTGCCAATTGGAACAAGGTATTTCAAAGTGTAGTTCTAGCTCCGTAAAGATGAAGTTTTAAATTATCATAACAGTTTTTCGATGTATCAGAAGTTAAACTGCGCCAATAAATCGAGACTATAAAATATTTAAGAAAGCACTTGACAATTTACGCTGAAGTTAAACATAAGGTACTGTTTAAACAATCAAACAAAAAAAAAAATTTCTGCTTGTTAAATTCTTTATTATTAATTTATGCACTACAAGTATGGATATAAGTATTTAATAATTGTTCTATTGTATTTAAAAATAAATAAATTTCAAAATTTTAATATAACCCATTACTTTGAACATTGGACCCTAGACCCTGTACTTCGCCCTCAGTCAAGTCTTTGTTCTGTACGACGCACTTCGTATAATTGTTATAGCTCTTTGATATACCAGAAGTTAAACTGCATCTTCTAACCAATAGTGATTGTTAAACTATTTAAGAAAGTATGGGAAATTTTACGCTGCAATTCAGAAATAAGGTACTGTTCAAATTATAACATAAATATTACTGCTTGCTAAATTAACCGATTCTTAATTTATATAGTATAAGCAATGACATACATATTCAATAGTTGTCCAAATATGTTATAAAATAACTAAATTTCTTTATTTTCTATACGCGCACTACTTAGAACAATGTACCCAACACTTGTACTTCTTCTCCCTGAGCCCATTTTTTGTTCTGTTGTAATAGTTATAGCTCTTTAATAAATCAAAAGTTCAACTTTATCTTCAAATGAGTAGTGACTTTTAAACTATTTAAAAAAGTAATGAAAATTTACGCTGCAATTTTGGAAAAAGGTACTGCTCAAATTATAAAATAAATATAACTGCTTGTTAAATTAACCAAATCTTCCTATATTAGTTACAATCATGAACATACATAATCAATAATGGTCAAATTATATAAGGAAATAAAGAAATTTTTAAATTTTAATATAACCCACTACTTTGAACATTGTACCCTAGACCCTGTACTTCGACCTCAGTCAAGTCTTTGTTCTGTACGACGCACTTCGTAATAAATGTTACAACTCTTTGATAAATTAAATATACAATTGCATCTACGGAAGAATATTGATTTTTAAACTGTTTAGAATGTAATGTATGTACAAGTAAGAAACAATTATAAATAATAAAGTAAAATGTACATACATATACATTATATATATATTTAGAAAATCATTATTAAAAATTAATTTTTTTTAAATCTCTTCTTTTTAACGTACCCTCAATGTTCATCACAACTTTGATTATTGTTTCCTTTCTATTATTTATACCTTATTCTCTATTATCTATTCGTTATTGCTTCCCATGTCTCCTCACATTAACAATATTGTCCTTTGTAGTATTATAGTATACTTGGATAAATATATTTTACTTAATAGATAAATGTTGTTTTAGATGTTGCTTAGAAAGGCCGCCCTAAAACATATTTCATATAATCATCTTTTCACAAAATGATTATAATTATAAAAAAATATTGGAAGTTGATTACATAATTAATTGTTATATTTATTTTTTCTGTTCCTAGGAATCACTGGGAGGCCAATTTATACGGCCAAATCTAAGAAGCTAGAAGCCTACAGGAACTCTTTACCACTGAGGGTGGAGTATTCTGTAGAAGAGCTGCGAAAGATTTTTCGACTCACTGGATGGTCGAAGATTCTTCTCGGTGGACTGAACGATTCACTCTCTGGAGGACCTGGCAGGCCATCTACTGAAGTTCAGCTCATTCCCTCGTGAGTGTTGAGCCGTCCTCGATCTCACAGGATGGTCGAAAAGTTCGAATCCAGCTCTTTGGTGTTCGGCTCATCTCGGAACGAGTCCACAGTCATCAGCGTTCTTCAAGTCCTCAACTTCCTCTGGATCCTTCGCTCCGGAATTTTTCTCCTTTTCCCGGATCTTCCTGTCTCCTTCCCGAGTCTATCTCTCGAGGTTACTTTTACTCGACTAGATGTCGTGCTGTAGCAGGAAAATCGAAGGAAGAAGAGATCGAAGTACTCCGCGATCCGTCGTGTTTGGGAATTCTAATCGCATCATCGAAGCGATGTCGCTGCTACTGAGCAGTTCTCGTGTCACAGTTGTACACGAAGGAGAACATCGCTCAACTAGTGGGAGTTGAAACTAATAATTGTACTGTGGTGGTTGTTATTATCTTATTTTAGGGATACATTATTTCCCTAGCCGTTGGTTATATATTCCCTTCTGGCTCTTTTGTGACCATGTATCCCTTAGCAACCTAAGGCTTTTATATTAGCCTCACAACAATCACCGCAACCACCACTACTTAAATTTCACTGGAGTTATATCTGCATCTACTGGGATTTCAATGACATCATTTATTTACATTTGCAGATGTATCTTTTAAAAAGTAGCTGTAGAAAACTATATATACATAAAGAAATCGTTTATTTCTTTTCACCCCAAACATTTCAGAGCTCGTTGATGCTCTATTCCTAGCCCAACATTGGCTTTTATTAGTCATGGTTCAAAGTCTCATTTTTCAGGCGCTAAAGGAAATCAAACCAAGCTAGATATAGTGAGAGATATTAAATTTGAGGGATAGTTTGGTTTGATGTTTTACTAGTACCTGAGGATGAGCCCTTTTCCAAATACACTAATAGCTAAAAAGCCAATGACCTAAGAACTATCTTGTAATTATTTATTTCAGATAGTTACCTATTCAGGAGGTTTAGTCTCAATTATGAGTAATGTAGATTCATACTTTTTTTTTTTATTTCTGTCTGTAGTTCCTAAATGGACATAAAACTTTATCATGAAATGGTTATATTATCACCTCGATAAATAACGAACTAGGTAAAAAATTAAAAATACATATATATTTTTTTAAGCAGTGTCTGATCATAATTCTTTTACTCAACGAAATGTTAAGATTCCGTATTTTAAACGAAAATTCTTAAAAAAAATCGGTTTAATTTTTTTAGTTTAGTTTCGACATCTGTTAATTGAGCGATGTTCCTCTACATGAACAACAATGACACGAAAATCACTCAGTCGGTTACATCACTCCGATGATGCGGTTCGAATTTCCTACCTGGCGAATCGTAGAATACTTCGATCTCACCTTCCTTCGACTCTTCTGTTACAACACAATCTCTTTTCGAATTTGAGTGGCTTCGAGGGAAAGAGTCAGTTTGGGGAGAAGAAAATCCGGGAAAGGGAGAAAGATACTGGGATGAAGCGTTCCGATTGGAGGTTGAGGATTTGAAGGACGTTGATGACTATGGACTCCTTCTCTGTATGGGCCGAGTACCGAAGAGTCAGATTCGGGTCCTTTCAATCATCCCGCAAGAGCGAGGGCCGCTCTCTGCTCGCGAGGGATGAGATGGATTTTAGAAGATGGCTTGCTCGGTCCTCAAGAGGGGAGATCGTTTTATTGGCCAGGAAGAGTTTTTTGTTGTCCAGTGACTTTTTGTCTTAGAATCTTCTCGAGTTACCTCCGCAGAATATCACCCTTTGTGGTCCAGAGATACAGAACTGACGACTTAAGACTTTTGGTAGATTGAAAGAATGAAAAAGATACCAGAGAAGAAGAATGAATGAAATGTAAAATTAAGAAATTAATCTTCACAGCAGGATGCAGATTGAATAAGGTATGTTGTTTACATTATACTGAATAGTATTCTATAATAGATGATTGTAACATTTTAAAATTTTGATGGGTGATGAATAATCAGAACGCAGTCTTTTTTTTTTAATTTAATTTTTTATTTATGCCAACGTTTCAACCCAAACATATGGGTCATCTTCAGGGCGTGGTTTAAGAGCTGACTTACTCTCAGTGCTTGAACAACCTTGCTAAGAAGTACTTGAACACCCTCAGTGCTCAAACCACGCCCTGAAGATGACCACATGTTCAACTTCTTTCAATAATTTTAAAATTATGTTTTGATATGTTGCAATAAACTTCTAATCTACATTAATAACTTATCTTCTACTTATGGACTTTTTTGGTCTGTTTGAATACTACCTTCATTGATGGAGCTATATTTTATTTTTTTTTGTCAAACATTCATAAGAAGAGATAAATCTAAAAAATTCCAAAAGCAAAAAGTCAAGGTGTGAATGTTGGTTGGCACAGGATGGTCACTTGTATTAAAGTTTTGGCCGTTTAACATTCTCGAATCTAGCGGAGTCGTTTTTAATCCAGCCTGGGTGGGTTGAAATTTATTTCATTGTCTACCAGCGGAATGAATTTTGACTTTTCCTCTCTGGTTAAAATAGGTTTAGTATTTCTTCTATAACAACCTCCCACCTTTCCTTATACTAAAAATTTAAAAAGAAAAAAAATTATTTTTTATTTATCTTTTATTTTCCACACCTTTTTTTATCTACTCTATATGTGATATGGTAGTTGAGATCCCGGCAAGAGCGATGGAGCGAAGTATATTGATGAATGAGATAAACAAAGAAAATTTCATGGAGTAGTGACGACCCTTAAATTCCTACTAGAGCTTTAATAATTTAATAAAAGTCATTGTAAAAATAAAGTTTTAAGATTCAGAGTTTTTAAATCCGAAAATGTACGATTTTCGAGATGAACCGTAATTCACTTCTATAGCCTCCTAGGTGACGAAGTTATTACGGGATACTATTTTTTTTTTCGCAGTTCGAGGACTATCAGGGAGATGGACTATCACCCATGTTGTTCAACTTAGCCCTGGAGAAGATAATTAGAGCAACATCACAGGAAAATGGAGGGGTCCATGTCGGAATGAATCATAAACTCCTTGGATATGCAGATGATGTAGCTGTTCTTGGAAGTGATCAAGAAGACATTGAGAAACTCGTTACAAGACAGACGATGGAGATCAGCCTACAAGTAAATGAATACAAAACAAAATATATGATAATAAGCCGAAATTTCCACCCCAAAAATAGGATCTGCATAGAAGGAAAATCATTCCCGAGAGTAGAAAAATTCAAACACCTAGGCTCCACAATAACATCATTGAATGACCAACGGGTAGAAATAGACAGTGTATAACTAGCACAAACAGAGCTTTCTTCTCTCTCTCTCTCTCACTCTCTCTCTCTCTCTCTCTCTCTCTCTCTCTCTCTCAGATGTTGAAATCCACAAAAATCTCAAACTAAGGGTATACAATGCTATGATAAAGCCAGTTCTAATATATGGCTAATACATGGCTGTGAGACCTGGACACTAAACAGCAGCCTAGAAAAAAGTGTGCAAAGATTTCAGAAGAAAACTTCCGCACGATAACCGGAGTGATATGGGATCAGAGTGCTAACACATGGAGAAGAAAGACCAATAAAGAACTGCTTACAGAAACTGGTCAATCAATATCGCATTACATGAAGGCACGGTGGTTAAGGGGTATGTAGCTCGAAGCAATCCATCTGAAAGCCTCTACGCAACAATGAATGCCTCAATAGAAGGCAAAAGACAACGTGGAAGGCCAAAAAGCAGATGGATAGATAGAATCAACCCAGATGCAACAGAGCTGCGTGCAGATAAATGAAAAGAAATAGCCCAAGATAGGCAGAAATAGAGCAGGCTTGTTGAGGTGGCAAAAGATCAACATGGTCTGTAATACCAAAAGAAAAGAAGAATGTTTTTATAAACGTTTTTAAAAATTAAAATGCAGACCAATTTCAATACACGATTTCGTATATCCGGCCAGAACTAGGAGGAGTATCTCAAGGCTGTTATATCACACCATTGATATACATTGTATACACTTATGTACATACACGTCATATCATTTCCAACAATTTTATTATAAAATACACAATATACACATATATATACATTTCAGCTTTTTCTTGTTCTACCGAAAGGCACTTCCTACCTTAACATGCCTATAAGGAAAATGCAGAAACAAAAATATGTATATCGTAATTTTATAATAAAATCGTTGGAGAGTGAGGATAATTTCTAAACCATTATTAGAATGGCGGTTTTAGTGATAAAAAATAAATTATAGCTGTTTTATGTTTTTTGTGGATTGCTTAAAATGATTTAGCGCAATATAAAATTACTAGATTAGAACTTTCCCAAAGTATATACTTTGGTATTGTTATATACAGTAACAATATACTATGATATTATATAATAAAATAATATCAGAAATGATGTATGATAATATTTCGTAATGTGACAATACAGTTTGATAAAATATAATAATAAAAATAATATACAGTGTAATTGTTATATTTAAAAGTATTTTTCATTACAGGTTAAAGAAATATATAAACTAAACTGCTGTGATCTTCAGATAGTATTGTCTTCGCAGGTCATCCGATTCCTCGCAGTCTCCGAGATCATCGGCGTCATATCGGCAGCGAGGTAGGAATTAGTTATAAGTATACATTTTATTACATGGTTACATGTAATATTAGGGGTTCCTAACAGATGAATCAGACATATAGAGTAGTGTTGCCCAAAATCGGTCTTGGTCTTGCATTTTGCAAGACCAAGACTATGGCCCTCTAACTGTTGCAAGACCAAGACCAGGACTGGTAAAAAAAATCGATTTTTTAAAATAAACATTAAGACAAAATAGTTACTAATACTGGACAATCTTAGTTACTATATGTGAATAATTGGCAAAACTGTAAATACTTTTGCATTTAACTCCTCTATTTTTTCATTCGGGCTTAGTTAGGTTTCTCCTATCTAAAAAATTACAGTAATATCTCTATAGTAATAAGCTAATAAGTAATTGCAAGACTGTTGTGAGACTCTTGCGCAAGACCAAGATCATGACCAAGACTGAGTTTGCCAAACCAAGACTCGTCTCGGTCTCCCATTTGGGCAACACTAATACAGAGGGAAACAGCATAACTAATGTTGAATATGGTAAACCCAGCCATATGTGGTATTTGAGATATTTCACGCTAAAATATTAATCACTAAATATTTATTGTCATATATTTAAGTCAATTATAAAGGTCCGGGATAAAATATTATTTACACTTTTTGTTATAAAAACTGTTTATCCTAATTAGCCTTCCCT